TAAACTTAAACATCTTAGACCCATTAGTTTGTTGCCGGTGCTATCGAAAATTTTGGAAAAAATTATACAGCAACAAGTTGTCCATTACATAGAGGAACTTAAAATAATATCGTCATGTCAATCGGGCTTCAGGAAGCACCATAGTACCACCTCGGCACTGTTAGATCTTTGTGATAATGTTATTAGGGCAGTTGACAAAAAGTTAGCAACAGCAGTGGTATCAATTGACTATTCCAAAGCATTCGATCGAATAAATCATAATCTTTTGTGCGCCAAGCTGAGGTATATAGGTTTCGATGATGCTGCTGTCAGTTTTTCCCGTAGCTATTTGTCCGGTCGCACGCAATGTGACGCAATCAATAACGATCAATCCAATATTACGACTATTCCGTCAGGAGTTCCGCAAGGCTCAATTTTGGGACCTGTGCTCTTTTTGATTTACACGTGTGACCTGCATAAAGCAGTTGACAATTCAAGGATACAAACATTTGCTGACGATACTCAAATAATATTCCATTTCGACGCCTCAGATACGCAAAATTCATCAGTCATTTTACAGCTTGATTTAGATAAGGTACATCAGTTTTCTATGGAACATAATCTTGCTCTTAATCCAGATAAGACACAAGTGTTATTGTTTCGTTCTGATCAGAAGAGGAAAACTGTCGAAGATTCTTTCCATCTGACTATTGATGGCATAACATTACAACAAACTCAAACAGCTAAGGTACTAGGAGTGGAAATTGACACAACATTAAGATTCCGCAGCCAAATAGCTAATTTGATGAAAAAAACGTACCTGTGTTCTAGGGCTCTTTATTCCAATCGCTAATTGCTTAACTTTAAGCTGAGAAAAAAACTGTGCGAATCTTTGGTGATGTCAATGCTCAGTTACTGTGATGTCGTTTATTATGTTTGGATCAATTGACCAAAAATCGTTTTCAAATCATCCAAAATAACTGTGTTCGCTTTATTTATGGGTTGCGTAAATACGATCACGTAAGTGATAAATATAAGGAATTGAACTGGCTTAGGTTAGGAAGTTTAGCTAAACATAAATTCTTAGTTTTAGTTCATAAAATAATATTGTCATCAAAGCCTGAATATTTAAGAGCTAAGTTAAGATTTAATTACGAAGTGCATGACAGGGCTGTTAGGAATCGTTATAGTATCAGAACCAACCCACACACATCTGCATTATTCCAACGAGGATTTACATATAATGCAGCACTATTTTATAATCAGTTGGACAACAGTATTAAATTGATGTCTTTGGAAAGTTTTCGTAAACATACTAAAAGATTGTTGCTCGCTATTGATTAAATAAGCATTTCTGCTACAGATATAGATTGTGTCTATTTGTATTTTATATTTAGGTATTATGTGTTCTTTTTTTCATTGTTCTTATATTTTTTTCCATGTTTTGAACATCAGATGTAACCGACATAAACAGTTAAGTGTAAGAGTAGCCCTAGCTAAACTTTGCTGTTTATGTCCCTCCGGGTTATCCAATAAAGACGTTATTATTATTATTATTAAAAACACTTTTATCTGGAAAAGAAAAAAGAAACGCTGTAAGTAAATGTTTACTAGATTTACACCCTATTCGTTATTGCCAACGTGACAGATTAATACAAAGATGTCACTTTCCGATCAGCAGTTCACCTCAGTAGACGTCAAAACGTGATAGATACTCGTGAAATCTACAGATCTACAAAACGCAAGTCATTTTACCTTCATTTTCTGGTAATCGTAACCATCTTTCAGCATTAACATAGCCAAATTAATACGATATTCCTGCGTCCGAAAAATTATACAAGATGAAATGAGATACCGTAGCGCCATCTATGAGAATTATGGCACAGCTACGTTTCTCTTTGCCAGTTGCCGATTGACTTTTGCTCTTAATTTTTAGAAAAATAAGCAATATTCATCCTAGGGACATTTGATTTATGGAAACACACATGGCATCATTCTTCCTTAAATGTTTCACTTACAACGTTGTTATTTTTATGATTACAACGATATACCTCGAGCCACATAATCACTATCATATGACGAATTTAAAACTCATTTATTTTGAATAGAAATACACAAATCGGTTGATAAAATTCATACTTTTACAACAGGTCTTCATAGCATATTGTACAACGCTCAAATGCCAACTGTAGATACTTTTTTGTAAGTACAGACAATATCACAAAAACCACCTTATACACATGCTTGAAAAGCTGATCGTTTTTTGCCCTAATCTAGACAAAGATATACCTAGAAACCCTTGTAATAAATTCATTACTCGATGTTCTTTTTTCTATGCCATTTAGTATAAGTACGCTGGATTTCCGATCGTAGGTGAAGGTTTCACGTGGCTGAAAGATCGATAATGAAATCTTAATTTATTCAGGACGGCCTCAACAAGCCGACCTTCATGTTTATTTGAATGCGAAATTACCGCGTTCCCTACAGGACAAGGATTTATGTTTACACAAATTAGACACACATGTATTTCCCCATAAACGTGTATTGTCAGAGTGGGCCATTAAAGCAAATACTATGATTACTGATAAGCTTTCTATCCTATCTGATAAAGCTTCGTAAGTCTAAGCTTGGTTCTTTTCTTATACAACGCCGATTCAAACGCAACTAGCATGATGTCTTTTACTTATTTCATAAATACTTGAAGACATCCGTTAGTCTAGAAGGCAGATACGGAATGATCCATATTTAATAATAATAATTCCTTAATATCCAGGGTGCACAATGATATCCATTGGATTTGTTAAGCCAGATCTAAATATACTAAGTGACATATAAATCCGAACACCCAGTTTAAATGGTTTTATTTTAATAAAATTTTGTATAAGTACTTAGTGAAGCATAATAAGTAAATGATAAAAATTTCAAAATGATTGCACTGCTTTAAAGCCTTTTGACCTTTAGTAATGTGTGGATGCACTCTGATGTGCTACGCATTCTCCAACGCGCCTAGGCATGCTTCTGATCAGGTGGTCAATGTCCTCCTGTGGTATCTCATTCCAGGCAACCACCAACTCCTCTCGAAGTGCTTCTAGAGTCTGAGGAGGATGTTGCAAATTGAGCAATCTCCTACCCATCATATCCCACACGTGCTCAATTGGGGATAAGTCGGGAGGTCTTGGTGGCCATCGTAACAATGTGACATCATTATGTTGAAAGAAGTCTATTGTGACTCTTGCAACATGTGGTCGGGCATTATCTTGTTGGAAAGTTGGATCTGCCAGGGTGTCAAGATAGGGTAAAAGATGGGGTTCTAGAACATCGTGGATACAACGCTGCGCGTTCATGTTACCTCTGATGAAGATTAAAGGTGACCTGGAACCATAAGCTATACACCCCAAACCATAACTCCAACAGTGTGATGAACATGTCTTTCAACAAAAAACTGTGGATTCCTCCTTTCACCACGTCGCCTTCTAACCCTGGCACGGCCATCGTGCATGCCTAAACAAAATCGAGACTTGTCACTAAAGACAATACTGTTCCATTCCTGATCCCAGAGCGACCGTTGTCTGCACCACTCAAGGCGATTACGTCGGTGTTCTCGAGTTAAAGGGAGGACCCAGTGTGGCCAGTATGAAAACAAGCCAAAACTTCTCATTCGTCGGTAAACACTTCGCATGCCAATAGGTCTTCCATGTTCTGCAAACCATTCATTTGCAATGGACCTGGTAGTAAAGAAACGGTCCCTTAAGGCCAATAATCTTAGGCGGCGATCTTCACGGTCTGTTGTTCTACGGCGGCGTCCAGTGCCCCTTGCTCTTTGCGTACGGCCTTCTCGAAGCCATGCCTGACAACACCTAACCACAGTGTCTACACTTCTGTGCACTCTAACTGCAATTGCCCGAAAAGAAAGTCCAGCTTCCCGAAGTCCCACTATACGGCCCCTATCAAACTCAGTAAGTTGACGAAATCGTACAAGTCTCCGCACTCTAAGCATCGTAACCGATCGTAAAGGATGTCAAGAACCAAAATCCGCCAACGTTGATTCTTTACTGCGGCTGAAATATTCAATTTTAGAAGATTTTAGAATTTTAGTGAATTAAAAAAAAGCAGTATAAAAACCGGAATGTAACAAACTGATAAGGCTGAAAATTTGTTCACTTGTTATTTACAGTAAGATAAATACATTCACCAACTTTTATTAAAATAAAACCATTTAAACTGGGTGTTCGGTTTTATATGTCACTTAGTATACTAAGCGAAATAAAATTTCTTAAACATCAACAAACTGAGACGCACTGTACAAACACTTATCGGACAAAGACCTTTTTAAACATGTCTTGATCTTCGTCAATATTGTACATAGTTTTATTTCATTGGGTAACTTGTTCGATATTCTTGATCCAGTGACACTGGGCATATTCCTACCCTTCACATATTTTGCGAAAGGAACAAACAGATTATACCTTTGAATAGTATGAAAATTATGCTGATTCTTGTGTAGCAAGGTTATCGTTTAACGCCAAGTCGCAGATGATCAAATATGCCAGGGTCAAAGTTTTGTGGTGCCAAAAGAACTCTTTATAACTATATGTTAGACCAAAACCGGTCCTTTACCTTATCACCCTTTTCTGGCTTAAGAAAACTTGACAATCGTTAGTAGACAGGCCCCAAACGAACAAGGCGAATTTCAGCCTGGATTCCTAGTATATTAAAGTGTAATCACCTGGCTTTATGTCAAGGTTGTTCTAAGTTTCTGAACATGTATGACTAAAAATTCAACTCAGAAGCCAAACTACATTAAGATTAAAAGCCTAGGCACTCTCCCAAATAAAAGCCTAAAAATTCAGTTTGTTCTGAGACATTCAGCTCAGTGCTGTTTATTTGGAAAATTAGCAGCGTTAAATGCCTTTGTGAATTCCGAAATCTCAAAAATGATGTCTTATCTAGATTTAAGTGGAGATATTGGTCAGAAAACCTCTGAGATGAATTTGTCACAGTTCCTTGGGAAACTCACATACCGGGTTCGCTCATGTAAAAATGACCAAATCCAGGCGTGTGGTAAATCAACAGTCGGAATCGAGAGATGTGCAAAGGATGGTTGGTTGATGACACTTTCTTGTATTTCTATCACAAACTTACGTAACTGTGTCTTCAGCTCATTTTTGAGAAATATACCTGTAACAGAAAAAGAAGTGTTAAAGATAGCCTAATGATTTTTTTCACAAACGTTGGAGCGCGAGTCACGAAAATTACAACTCACAGTTATAACCAGTTGTCCGAAAACGATCTACAGATTTGATAAGTCATGTCAAGTGGTCATGTTCCGTGTGTTTATGTATTTGTGCCCAAATATCTAAAGCACAGAACATCCTATTATTGACAACTTGATTGATTGTTACTCATAAATTATAATGGAATACCTACATCATGGATTTACCAAATATACAAATTCAGTGCAGTTCCATATACTAAGAAGCGTGATAATAATCACTGATCAACAGCCAAAAAATATCCTGAATAAAATCAACAAAATATTACTATTTTTAATGTGCTAAAACCGGAACGAAACTTATTTTTTCAATATTAGTTCAAGTTTTAGAGATACGGTAATTAAATGTGTTCCTGCTGTGACAGTGTTAATATACTGTAATTCACAAGAATGCACTTGTACATTTTTATATTCGGCAAGGAAAGATGATGTAATCGGCATGATTGTGTTACGTTATACATACGAGTACATTATATTGTTTTATATTAGCCATTTTTTCCTCAGTTGGCTGACAGCGTTCATGCAAGATGTCTCGAAAGTGTGTAAACAATCCAGATCAGTTTTGTTACGTGTGTGGTGATGTGACTTTTGCGTCTCAGAGACGGTCTATTACTCCACTAATAACAAAGGCATATCAGCTTTATTTCGGTTGCAAACTAGGTGATCAAGACAAACAGTGGGCACCCCACATCTGCTGTAATACATGTGCTTCAAGTCTGAGGAGCTGGTTAAATGGCAAAAAACGGTCTATGCGCTTTGCTGTCCCAATGGTTTGGAGAGAGCCTACAAATCGTATTAATGATTGTTACTTTTGCATGGTACCTTGTGTTGGACAAGCCACAGGTATGTCCAAGAAAAAAAAATCGGTTATTAACTACCCAAACATACCATCTGCGATGAGACCTGTGCCTCACAGTGACGAAAATCCTATTCCAAAACCCCCAGAATCCTACACTTGCGAATCAGAAAACGAATCAGATCATGGCGATCGAGTGATTTGTCAGGAAGAAGATATGCCATCAACGTCAAGAGATCCTGATTTTATACCTAGCACGTCATGCCACCAACCACACTAAATAACACAGTCAGAATTAAATGATCTTGTAAGAGATTTAGAACTTCCAAAATGTAAGGCAGAGTTACTTGGATCAAGACTGCAGCAGTGGAACTTGTTAGAAGACGATGTTTCGGTATGTGTTTTTCGTAAACGCCACAAAGACTTAGAACCATTTTTCAATATGGAGAATAACTTGGTTTTCTGCAGTAACATTAACGGCTTACTGGCGGCTTTAAATATAAACTATAACCCAGAAGAATGGAGATTGTTTATAGACAGTTCAATATTGAGTTTAAAGGCAGTGTTATTGCATATTGGAAACATTTTACCATCTCTTCCTGTAGGGTATGCAGTTCACATGAAAGAATCATATGACAATATGAAGTACCTATTGACATGCATAAAATACGATGAGCACCAATGGCATATTTGTGGCGATTTGAAAGTTGTTGCACCTTTACTTGGGCTGCAGCTAGGCTACACAAAGTTTTGCTGTTTTTTGTGTGAATGGGACAGTCGGGCAAAGGCACTTCATTACACCAGACAAAACTGGACTGTTCGTCAATTCCTAGAGCCAGGTCAAAAATATGTTCAGCATATGCCATTAGTAGATTCGAAAAAATTTTTATTACCACCACTGCATATCAAGTTGGGCCTAATGAAAAACTTTGTCAAGGCATTAGATAGAGATGGGTCAGCTTTTCAATACCTGCGTCAGAAATTTCCAAGACTAAGTGAGGCAAAGGTTAAAGAAGGTATTTTTGTTGGGCCACAGATTCGAAATATTTTGAAAGATACACAGTTTGAAAACACTTTAACAGGTATTTAAAAAACAGCTTGGAATGATTTCCGTCTGGTGGTCACTAATTTCTTGGGAAATAGAAAAGCTGACAACTATAAAACCTTTGTCAAAAATATGCTGTCATCGTATCAAAAGATAGATAGATTTCCTACACTCACACCTGGACTTTTTTCCTGACAATTGCGGAGCCGTAAGTGATGAGCACGGCGAACGTTTTCATCAGGATATTTCAACAATGGAAAAAATGTACCAGGGAAAGTGGAATCCCTCCATGCTTGCAGACTACTGTTGGAATCTTGGTAGAGATGCTCCAGAAACGATCCATAAAAGAACAGCAAAAAGACAGCGCATATAGTGATTGTTATAAGTATATGAATCTTGTTACTTTTTTTAATATATCCTTAAAAATAAAAAGTTTTTTTTCTAAACCGCAACTAATTTTTTTATTTCACTGTCATTTTTGGATTCAGCGCCCCAAAATTAACAAAGAAGTGCACTTTTCCCACAAGATACAATTAAAAAACTAACATTTGTTGTCCAGTGAATAGTTCGCTAAACGTTAGTGAATAGTAACAAAATAATTGAAATTTCAATTGATCATATTCCACGCGCAAATCATATCAAAAACTTGGGATTGACTTTGTACAATGACCTAAGATTCCCAAAACATATTGATAGCTGTATGATTAATGAGAAGACATTATGACACCGTCGAAGGATTACAAGAGGTTTTCAATAAAGAGAAGGAAGCTTGTGAACGATATAGCCTGAAATCAAATACATAACGGTAAACAAGACATCACCGATCGACAAGGGTATTAATGTAAATGGAACGTTACTTGCGAGAACAAACAGAATAGGAACTGCAGTGAATGATAGATGGGATGACTCAATAGAAGCGGAATGTCGTATTAAAAAAGCAAGGTCAGTTTCTGATCGCCTTAAGAACATGCTAGATGGACATGATCTGAACATGGAGCTACATATCCTCTGTTCGCCATGAAAATATTAGAAGCATTTGCTCTCTATGAGCTGGATTGATAGGATATGAATTGAAAGTACTCGAACGCATTAAGAAAGGAAAAGCGATTATTAAGACGGCCAAAGCTCAAGGTACACTCCAAAAAATACAACGCTCCATAAATCATGAAAAGAGCAAAAGATGCATACCGCAAAAAGCATTTAGCTCAATTTGGTTTGTCTAGCACACCTGGCTAAAGTTATCCAGTAACCTGACTATACGGAGACATACTCAACAGGCCTTACGGTGAGCGTGTTCGCCGGTAATTTAAAAATATCTCGTGCCTTGTTCTAAAATTGGCATGGTATTATCCAAACGACAACTCATTACTCGTCAATGTTATTTCAATATCCATAATGACCCCTAATAACCATTTGTTCCAGTTGTAGCCTGGAATTATCTGTATCGTTTGTCACGTTTTACAATCCCATGTATGTGTAAGGGTACTTTACGCGGTAATAACTCGCATGGATCCTGTAACGGTTCCACTGATTTTCCATGTGTCACAAGTCTAGCTTTAAAATAATACCTTTGGAGTACACGTGGGATTTAATAATGACTATGTCTCTCGCAAATATTGGTAATTTTAAGTATAGGTGAAATTCTTCAATGAATTGATTTTATATTCATCCTTCTTCAAGAAGTAGACGATAATCTTGTGTTGGTTGTAGTTATTTAGTACCCAGGCAATAAAAAATAAAACAGTGCAGATTGTCCACTATCCAGATCCCTAGGTAAGACGGATACAAACATCGTAAAAGGGTTTGATTTCATACAAAAGTAGACTGGGAAACAACCATCTATGCCCCAAGCTATTCAATATTCATGGCAGCAGCATTAGCATAATTGCTTTTTTGACCAAGGTCGTTGATTTGTTTTCTTAACAAATTCATATATCAACTGCGGCATATCAATCACAACAAAAGTAAGGGTACGCATGCACGCACTATATGCTAGATCAAAACGCCGATCATGAAAACCGTAAGAAATCACAGACGCATTTATATTATATCTTCCAGGTTACAACGTCAATATGTTATGATCTCAAAACTCACTAGTTCAACTGGAGTATGGAATTTTGTGGTTCGGAAGCGAGACCGGACATCTCGACTCTGATCGGGCAATTGAAACGTCTCGGATTCAGCGTAAGAGAGTGAATGGGCACCCAGATTCCGTCTTTCTATGTTCTCACGAATAGTGCACTGGTCCTCGATCTGATTTCTCATGTAGTAGGTGCAAACCGGAGTAACTTTCTTCCTTGCTTTTGGATATATACCCAAGATGGGGTTTGTATTGTACCAGAAGTGATAATAATTAAGGTCTCATATTTCGGCCAAGATAGTATGAGGTACAAGGCTTCCAGACGTTGATTTGATAGTAAGAGTAGATGATAGTATGTACTTTTGCGTTCTAAGGCTTATACAGGGTGACAGGTAAATAGGTGTAAAACATTTTAGGAGGTGATAGTACAGCCCCTTTGCTATCGAAGTTAGTATATAATACCATACCCTATATTCAAAGGTTGAAAAGTTATTGAAGATTTAAGATTTTTTTAAAAACAATCCATATTTCACAGTAAAAAAGTCGAGAGAGAAAAAAGTTGGCGATTAAACATTTGTTTTTTGTGGTTTTGGGTTATTATTTCAATAATTAACTATTATAAATTAAAAAAGATTCGAAAACAATACCAAACAACGTATTTATTTTCATTCAAAGATGTTTAAACAAGGAAAACAAATAACGTTTTACAGTAAGTAAGGTGTTCTACAAAAAAATCAGTATACTAAAAAACGTACAAACAATTTAAATAATATCCTTGTTTCATAAGGAATCTAAATTGGTATGATAAGTGCACAAAAACTGTGTGAAACTAAACATAATGTATTGTAATACAACAATAGGGAGTAAATTTTCCAATGGCTTGTCTCCTATTTTCACAACTCTGTGATTGATAACAAAGTGTTTTTGTGAAAATAATGTAACTGTAAGCTATGGGATAGTTATTATTTTAAACTACGGTTAAGTTACACGATTAGATTATTTACACAGTTGTAATTGTACTACAGAATAATAAAAACTGACTAAAAGTTACTATAATTGGTAAGTAAAATACAATAATGAAATGAAGGTAAAATTAATTGCAATTGTTGTTCGAACTGACGCCCGCCGTTTCTTATGCAAGCCCGTAGTCTTTTTCTCATGTTGGTACGCGTGATGCGGCCAGTTAGTTATCCTCTGATAGTGTCAGCAGCAGCAATAATTCTTTCTTTCAACTGTGCAAGAGTGTCTATGGGCTCAGCGTACACCAGTGACTTCATGTGCCCCCATAAATAATAGTCACACGGTGTTAAATCTGGGCTCCTCGCTGGCCACGGTGTCGGTCCACCTCGGACAATCCAGCGACAAGGATATTTCTCGTCCAGCCACTGTCTAACACCCAGACGGAAATGCGCGGGACAGCCATCGTGTTGGTCATCTGCATCCTGATATTCAGAGGCAGGTCTTCGAGATACTCACACAGTTCGGATCTCAAAAAGTTTTCATATGAGTCGCCATTCAGGTTGTCAGGCAAAAAAACTGGTCCAATTAGATACGTATGAATGATTCCCATCCACACGTTTGCCGAAAATCTTCTTTGATGGGCTCTTGGCTTTGCCATGTGGGGATTTGCCTCTCGTGGGGCCCAATAATGTAAGTTGTGATAATTTGTTATCCACTCTCTGTCAAACTTAGACTCGTCGGTCCACAATATTTTAGTTAAATAGTCGTTTTCTTCTTGATCCCGATGAAGCATGTATCGACAAAAATCAATTCTTCTTGCGGGATCTCCTTCTTCTAATACTTGAACCGGTGTGTAATGGAAAGGGTAAAGTCTCGCCGAATGCAAAACGAACCAAACTTTCCACTGAGTTAAACCAAGCTGCTTTGCTATAACTCGTGTAGACGTCGTCGGGTCTCTGCAGTAGCATTCCAGTATTGCCTCTCGATCTTCGTCGTCAAACAACCGAGGTCTACCAGCATCATGGCGTCTCTCATGAACCTGTCCACTTTCCTTGACGCGTTGGTACACAGAAGCAAATACTCGATGACTCGGTATTCGCCGATTCGGAAAACGGTTTTCGTATTCTCGCCTGGCTTCAACGGAATTTCCATCACTTAAACCATAACAAAACAGAATATCAGCGTATTCATCGTTACGGTAACTCGCCATTATTGAAACTGATCAGAAAAGTAAAAGTACGTCCTACCTCGTTAAAGGTTGATATTCAACTAACTAACCTAAGCGTTAGTTCTCTTTCCTTGATCCGTCAGCTGTGTCAATTCATAACACACGCAGAACTTGCTTCCGTGGAGCGACGACAGATTCCGAATACTTAAACCCGAATAACGGCACAGGGCACAAAAAATAACAAAAAGGGTCGAACCATGAAAGGCTCGGTTTACCTGCTCAGTACAATGAAATGCGCTTAGCGGTCCTTTATAGCAAAGTAATATTGTTTTGTTAAACGGTTTACTTACTGATATGTTATTATACCATTTTAGAAACCTAATAAAACGAGGAAGTTTTTGCAGTTATTTGTACATTTTCTTTATTATGATTTTTTTGAAAAAAAAGACTTCGTAATGTGAAAGCTGAAAATAAAAATTTTCATTTAACATTTAAATGACAATAAATACGTTTTCAGTAGTGTTTTCATATGTTTTTTAATTTATGAGAATTATTTATTCAAATAATAACCTGAAACCACCAAAAAAAGAATGTTAAATCACCAACCTTTTTTTATCTCAACTATTTTACTCTGTAATCTGGGTTGTTTTTAAAAAAAATTAAATCTTCCATAACTTTTTAACCTTTGAATATAGGGTATGGTATTATATACTAATTTTGATAGCAAAGGAGCTGTACTATCACCTCCTAAAATGTTCTACACCCTGTATCATATGACTCAATTGATCATGATTGCCCATTTTGTGGATTTAATGGAGTTTTCCATTAAAAAAGTGAAAATAATCCTGTGTTTCCTTCACTAAAAACCAAACTCTTAGATGAACGAGTGGGCGTTGCCTTGCAGTTCATTTGTTTTTCCCGCTACTGCAACAGATGAATATAAAATATGTTTGTCATTGCCATTTTGATCTGTAACCGCAGTGGTAGTGGAGACATCAGTAAAGAGTGATTTTCGTATGTGACTTCATCTGGACAGAAAGAACATTGAGTTCGTCAGCATGAAAATCACAAGATTTAGTGAGTTATATCTTTTCCTTAAAAATCACAATTGTCCATCAAGCAACCAGGTGGCTTCTCTAAAACTGCTTGGAGGTTAATGGAGAAGGAGAAATAGATTTGTCTATGTAAGCACATAGTCACGATGTGCAATACACGGTTTGCATCTTGTAGGCGATGTTCGCTTTGCTCGAGGTATTTGTTATGTAATATTCACTGTACATTTATTTCGAGAAGAATGCCTATTTTAGCTTCTATAGAAGATATTGTATCTTATTCTATTAGCATGGAAATCACAGAATTTCAAATGTTGTAACTTTTCCCTAAAAACCAAAATTTTCCAACATCTACCAACCAGGCGGTTTATCTAGTAATTGGAGATTGGATTGTTATTTATTATTTTCTGTATATTAACTTGAAAAAGGAAGAATGTTGTACCTTTTCCTTCCCGAAGTCTGAGACCGTTTCCTACCTGTTTCCAATATCACATACTTTGTGCGTAATCTTTTTCGTTTGCGATTACTTATTTAGACCGTCAATCTTGTTAGAGGTGAAAGCATTTAGAGAGAGCGGTCTAGCACTCCATGATGTACGACGTAGTATGTAGAGTCATAAAATCCACATTAGGAACAGAACCATTTCCCAGGAGCGAAATTAATCATCGTAGACGAACCGCGCTCCGGCAGAGCAACGCCACGAAAGCGGCAGCGAAGCTTGTATCCAACGATTTGTGAAACATTTCCACCGGCGGATGCCTGGTTAATTTATCCGAAACATCGGGTTGGTCTCAGCTCCAGTTGCAGCTATGCTGCTCCATCGTTCTGACGAATCTTCGTCATACTCTGCGGGGGAGATCCAGGTTAACGCGCAACTATATCCGCTCTGTAACTGGAACCGCTAGCTATAAGGGAAGATAGGTTATGGCGAAATTTTGTTTGGTCAATAGTCTCATGATTTATGAGATAGACAGCTATCCAGTTTTTTAGCAAAAATAGGAACTTTCTAGTGAAATTGT